TCGTGTCTAATAGAAAGTTTCATTATCAAATGAGAGAAAAGGAGAAGCAAAGAGCAGGACGCTGCAAGACTCACCCACACCAAAAGGAATGACTTCAGTCTTTCAGGTCCTGTAGACTCAAGGCCTTGTTGTCTGAAGATAAGGTTACTCTAGTAACTTCCATCACAACAGGGACTGAGTTCAGTGCTTGAACAAGAACACCCACATTTTCAAGAACAGTTAAAAATAATATTAAATGGCAGAGAGAGAGAGAGAGAGAGAGAGATCTCATTTCCTGAAAGTCACATACTCACTCCATCCCTAGGTCTGTCGGGGGTTTGTGCTAAGACTGAAAGTTTTAGTGATGGCTGTGTCCAAAATCATCTTTTCTGGACTGGATTCCACTGTAATTGCTGTGACAACTGGACTGTCCAACACAGCAGCTGCAACAGCCCTTCCCTTGGGCTTCAAGAGAAAGCTGAACTCACAGCCCACTGTACATGCACTGGGGGAAGGCCCCTGTCCCCTCATTTCCCAGAAGGAAATTTTTCAGCAACCCATATTCTTTACCCAAGTCTCAGCATTTCACGAGCACTGCTTTGGAATTAGGGACTCAATCCCACCACCATCATAACCCCTTCGAAGAGGAACTCTCCACCTGCATTTACAGACCAGGGTAAGAAACAGCTGCCTGCTCCCAAATTCACAGATATTACCCACAGCCTGAAGCTTGCTGGAGCACCTCTGCCTTGTTTCCCAACTACATCCTGCTCCGTGCTGCACAGTGACAGGAATGAAATGAGCCACAGCAGCCACACCAGGATGCACCTGGGGCAGCCACCACTACAGTTGTCTTCCCAACTCTCCACAGTGTGCTGACTCCTTTTCTGGCAATTTTGCTTTACCTGCCTACACTCCTGTTGAACTCCATGTCACCTTCACAGACAGACCATCTACTCCCACTATCCTATTACTCCTTCTTAACATGCTGTCAGGAATTGCTGGTCCTGAAGAGAGATCCTTAATAGTTGGTTCTTAAGAGAGGTGAGCTGAGGACACTAAGTACATGGCTGCCAGTGGAACAAACCAGACTTACTTTCAGTCCAAAGGGAACATACTTCTCTCTGGGGAAGAAAAGGACATTAACCTGAATTTGTAAATACAGTTCTGTGTTTGGGGTATTTTTTTTTAGAGACTCTTTTTATCTTTGTTGCCACATCCACTTACCCAGACACAACAAAAAAAGTCTCTCTGCTGAAAAGCTGAACTCATAAAAGAAAGCAAATAATCCAAATGAAAATCCCCCACTCAGCGTTTTAATTAGCAAGATATCCACTAAGCACAACTTTCCAGCCACTTCACTGTGATGCAGGTCACCCCCCCCCATACACCTCTGTTTGCACTTTGGTGCAAAGCACAAGGAAATGCTGTTGGAAGTCGCATTCTCAAAACACCAGTTGGACGTTTGCCTCATTTGTGTGAGTGCTACACTCTTATTTAAAAAGCCAGACAGGTTTCAACAGTTTGAGGTAAAAAAAAAAAAAAAAAAAGGTGAAGCTCACAACTTTGCAAGGAGGAATAAGGATAAACAAAAATACTATGATTTGGTTAGAAGTGGAAGCCTTGCTTCCAGGTAGACTTGGGGAAAGTCTACTCTGCAAGACGCAGAGATGGGATGCCCATGGACCTACAGGGTGTCCTCACACCAGACTGTGTTGCAGTTACGTCCTCGATGGAAATACAGTATTGCGTTTCCATGCCCACATCTACAGGAGGGCACTATAAAAGGCAGGTAAGTATTTGGGTGAGGGGACTGAGTAGTGCTGGGAAATAAAAGAAAGAGGTGTGTGTGAGGGATGGGGAGAGCTGCCCAGCCCTGCCCTGCCTGCGGGAGACAGGCAACAACAGGTAGCGGGGCAGGGGAAGATGCCAGGCAAAGCCATCCCTGCCCTGCAGTGAGCACTCAGGAGCCGCTCTCCCTCCAGGCAGAACCAAACACGGGCCCAGGCACCCAGAGCTCCGAGCAAGCCTCGACTCATCCTTGCAGCCACCCAGGCAAAATCAAAAACAAAGCGGGGAGAGGTAGAGCACCGTGCAGCCCTAACACCTGGCCGGGCTGCGGGTACCCGGGGAGAGAGAGGGGTGCTTCTGGAGAAGGCAGGATAAGGAAGAGGAGGATGATAAGGAGGAGGAGGATCATAAGAAAGAGGAGGATGAAAAGAAGAAGAAAAGTAAGGAGAAGAATGAGGAGGAGGAGAAGAAGAAGAAGGAGGATGAGGAGAAGACGCAGGGAGATGAGAGATGAAGGAGGATGAGAAGATGCAGGAAGATGAGAGATGAAGGAGGATGAGAAGATGCAGGGAGATGAGAGATGAAGGAGGATGAGAAGATGCAGGAAGATGAGAGATGAAGGAGGATGAGAAGATGCAGGGAGATGAGAGATGAAGGAGGATGAGAAGATGCAGGGAGATGAGAAAAGAAGGAGGATGAGAAGATGCAGGGAGATGAGAGAAGAAGGAGGATGAGAAGAAGAAGGGTGGGGGGGTGGTCCCCGGCCGCCGGCTGCAGCGTGCAACATCGCCGGGTCTGTCATCATCCTCCGGCGGCGGGAGGGCGGGGGAAGGAGGAGGGAGCGGGGAGGCCTCACCTGATGAGGTCGAGGAAGGAGTCCACGGTCTCCTTGCTGGTGGGCAGCGCGCCCGGCAGCCCCAGCCCGGGCGTGTTGAGCGCGGAGGCTCCGGCGCCGGGGCGGACGATGAAGCCGAGGGCCACGGCGAGGCCGGAGGCGAGCAGCGTGGTGCCCAGGAAATAGGCGAGGGCGATGCCTCCCAGGCGGCCGAGCGAGCGGGTGTCCAGGCTGGCGGCGCCCGACACCAGGCTGCAGACCACGAGCGGCAGGATCACCATGCGCAGCATCCGCAGCAGCAGCTCCCCGGGGAAGGCCAGGTAGGCGACCTGCGCGGGGCCCAGCGCCGCGCCGCGCACGGCGGCCCCCAGCGCCACGCCGGCCACCACCCCCGACACCGTCAGCAGCACCAGCGCGTTGCGCCGCAGGAACCCGCGGCAGCCCCGCAGCCGGGCCCCGCCGCCCCGCCGCCCCTCGGCCGCCGGGCCCTCGGCGTGCCCGTTCGGGCCGTGGCCCGCCTTGTCCTCGCCCGCCGCCGCCTCCTCCATGCTCGCGGCGCGGCGGCTCCTCGTGTCCCGCTACCGCGCGGCGCTCGCAGGCTCTGACTGAGCGGGCGGGCCCCGCCCGCCGAGGGCCGGCGGAGGCGGCGGCCCCGCCCGGGGGAGGAACGGCGGTGACCCCCGGCCCGCCCCGCTGCTGCCGCCGGGCCCGGGTCCCCACAGCGCCATCGGCGGCCGACGGGGCGGCGCGTCAGTCCAGCGCCCGAGCACGGGCGGCGTGAGGGCCCTCGGCGCCCTCCAGGGCTGCACATGTCCTCTCGGTGCCCCGCCGGTGTCCCACACCTCACACCTGTCCCCCCACCCCCGGCTCCCCCTTCAGTATCCCCGTTGTTCATACACATCCCCTCAGTGTCCTCATAGTTCACGTATGTCCCCTCAGTAGCCCCCTTGGTGTCCTGAAGCTCACATGTGCGCCCTCAGTGTTCCACCTCAGTATGCCCGTGGTTCATACACATCCCCTCAGGGTCCCCGTAGTTCACACATGTCCCCTCAGTGGCCCCCTCGGTGTCCTAGAGCTCACATGTGTCCCCCCCAGTGTGTCCCCGTGGTTTACACAGATCCCCATCAGTGTCCCAAAACTCGCACGTCTCCCCTCAGTTTCCCCCTGCAGTATCCCCATCATTCATACACATCCCCTCAGGGTCCCCTCGGTTCCCCTCTCAGTGTCCCAGAGCTCACACGTGTCCCCCAGTGTCCCCATGGTCGATACACATCCCCATCAGTGTCCCCACAGCTCACACATGTCTCTTCAGTGTCCCTCTCAGTGTCCCCATGGCTCACACACCTTTTTCCAGTGTTCCCCATGCTTCATACACATCCCCTCAGGATCCCCATAGTTCACATATGCCCCCTCAGTGTCCCTATAGCTCACACACGTCTCCTCAGTGTCCCTGTGGTTCAATCACGTCACCTCCGTGTCCCCGTGCTTTACACACATCCCCAGCAGTGTGCTCACAGCCCACGTCTCTTCAGTGACCCCCTCAGTGCCTCACAGCTCACACACGTCCCCATCCCCTGTGGAGTTCACGTGTCCCCTCAGCGTCCCCCTCTTCTCTCCAGGAACCTCTCATCGAGGCCGGAGCAATCCTCTGCTCCAGGGCAGGTTGTGGTGTCCCTGGTCATCAGTGGCACGGACACCCTGAGCATGCTTCCTTAAGGAACTGGGCTGAAACCCAGTCTGGTCACACGAGCAGGTTCTCTGAGGAGCAAACGATGTCTCTGGCGACACAAGGGGCTGACAAAGGGCACCGGGGCTTTCAACTCTGCAGAAGCCCCAGGGGTGCACTTACTGTCATGTTTGCTCACAGAGCCACTTCCACGAGCTCCAGCCAATGTTTGGACTCGAGCAGGGGCTCCATTTCAGTTCGTTCCCTTGACATCAGCAAAGCACAGCCTAGCAGAAAACACGCTGTGAAAACAACCAGCCACACATCTGCTTTTCGAGTAGACTGCACTAATTAAAGAGACTGACAGGGTGTGATGGGACAATAATCCTGATTTAATAAGACTGTTTTCTGCTTTCCAATCTCATGGATAGATCTGAAAATTGCGGCACCGTGGCTGGAACTCCTGGGAATTGTCCATGTGTAGATAGATAACACCACCACCAACAAGCAATTGTGTTTGCCACCATCCACTTCAGAGCTTGATGCAAAGTCTTGACTTGCAGCTTGCTCTTGCACTGAAATTTGACTTAAGGTACCAGCCATATTCTTATTGATCTGATATTTTGTCTCCTAATAACTTTCCCTATGAGTAAGGCTTGGCTTGTGGAAGTCTGGGAATGAATGTTCCATCATAAACAGAGACTAAACTAAACAAGAAAACAAGCATCAGCAAATGGTTCTAAAGACATTCAGTTCCACAAACCTCAAAAGGAACAAAAAGGTTTTGTAGATCTTTTTAAATCAGGTTTGAGTCTTTTTCTGCAAATAGGTTTGTGAATAATAAAGTAACCACACAACATAATTGTTTCTTTCCCCATCAGAGGCATTACTAAAATGGATTTTTAATTAATATTTTGAGAATGTTCCTTGTGAAAACGTCATGCTTCTTTTTTTCCTTGCATTTTCCCCTGCTGTTCTTTCTTGATCTTACCCTTTTTTCTTTCCATTTACCCATGAAAAGGGGAAGAGAAAAGGGGAAATGAAAGGATGACAGAAAATTATAAAACAAGTACATAAATATAAAGTCTTTATTCTCTGTTTCAGCTGAGAAAAGATCATAAATCTAAACAATGAGCACAAATGCCATTCCCATATGCAAAATGAAAGCACAGGGAGAAAATCAGGAAAGAGTGAACAAGAAGAACGTATTAAATTGGAAAACTCATTTGCAGCAACACATGTGTGAGATCAGCACAAGAGTTAACACAGAACCTTTTCCACTGTATGAAATGACAGCAGACTCCTCTCTTGGAGACACACCATGTCCTTGTGGGACTGACTTTGCTGACAGCAGTGCCATGAGAACAGTCAGGTAACCTGAAGGAACACACACCTCCAAAATCGTAGGTCCCAGTGAATGTTTTTTAACCCATGGTAAGGCTGTTTGGTGATAGACAACACTTCAAGAAGAACACTTTGACAAAGCGATGCTTGTGTCAAGCTTCCTGGTCAATGACACCATGAGAATTCAGAGTCCCAGTTTCCCCTTCCTTTATTTCCCCCCTTTTGATTTCCTGATTCAAACACTGATCCAAACAGTTTTCCTTCTTTCCTTGACATATCTCAAAATCAGAACATTTTTGTCAAGAAGGAGACAAGGGAACACATGAACTTCCCACCATACAAATGGACATCATCCCAAAGACATTCTAGGCAAAGCTGTTTTTCCACACGCTGTGAGAGTTCATGGATGGCTGCAGTGATTAACCCCAAAGCCCGGTGGCTTATTCAGTAGTAATCGTTGACTGATCCATTGTGTCATGTTTTCATTTCAGCACTTGTAGATCTTGGGAGCTTTCCAGTGACTGAGTCTGCATGCTTCCAATGTCCACCCCACTGGTGCTTCTAAATCAGAGATTTTGACTTTTACTATTGCAACCTGAAGATTCTTTTTTTGTCTTAAATGGCTTTCACCTTCACAGGGCTTAGAATGCTTCCTCCAGAAATCAGGAGAGGAATCAAAACCAAACAATAACAACAACAACAAGCAACCACAGAAAAAAAAATCCAGTTCCTTTTAAACAAAATTTTAAAAAATCCTTTTGCTTTATGTGAGGAAGCAGCCAATATAGTTTTCACCACTGGCCCAGGAAGGAAGATTTCCAGTCAAATTCCAGTCATGCTGATGTCCAATCAAGTTCTGCTTGATATTAATTTTTGATGGTAGACATTTGAAATTCCATCCTTGGTGGAAGGAATGAAAAAATCTTGATGGCTGTAAGGGACTCACATCCTTCCCCTTTATGCTTCATCACCAAGCAAGCAGAGTGCAGGATTTAATTTGAGCCACTGTCCTCAGAAATGTTCCTGCTTTGTTGAGAGAAGTTTATAGTCGGACCTCTCAGAGCAAAAGCTTACATGTCCTTTTTCCTACTACTCCTCCATTCCCACTGTTAAATTCTAGCACAGTCTTGCTGCATATCCATGGGATGGACACTTAAAATAGGACATCTGTAATCTAGCTGTTACTTTCTGTAAATGTAATGTCTAATCCTAATGCCCCAAAGAAACAGAGATGATGATTTTCCACACCTGCAGAAGGCCCATACAAAGTCTGAGAGAAATCAGATTTTAATTTCTTTGCTAGAGGAGGAGAGGAAGGCTTTCAAAGAGCTGTTTGCAGCTCCTTGAGTCTCACATCTGTTACATGCTCACTTGGCACAGGTCAGAGTATCCCTCAGGCCACGTTTCCTACAAAACCACATAGCAGCAAGAGTGCAGAGAACACTCACTGTGCCGCCTCCCTCTCCTCTGTCTTCCTGATTCTATTTCCCTCTTCTTAAGACTGACAAGGTCATCTGCAGCTTTCAGGAGCTTCCTTGGGTCTGGATGCCATTTACCTTCTGTCCTTGGGAGACCCTAACTCCTGTAGGCTTAGAGAGAAGTCATCAATCAGCCCATGTGCCGCGACTGGTTTGGTTTGAAGTAGTTTGAAGACTGATCCCTCAAAGCCGTGGTGGGGGCGGAGGGAGCAAGATGAAAGGGAAGAGGGCAGAAAGACATTGCAATGTATATTCATGTTTTTCAAGAGAAGCTTGAATAAAGATGCTCTCAAACATCCAAATGGAGACATTCTGGGCAGCCTGCAGTGTCCTAAGGGGCTGTATTACAGAGTGGCCTTTTTCTGAGGAGAATTCAGGAAGAGCACGTGGGAGGGAGCTTGTTTTCTACCAAGCAAAACGAAGTCCTTAGAAGAGCCACATCACGCTAGCTGAGATGGGAAGGCCTAGAGCACTTCCTTGGTATGCAGACTTTAGCTTGGCAAGAAGACTTGTTGGGCCTGGGATGCCAAGCAATTTGGACAGACTCCAGCCCCATCGCAGAAGTGTTCTCTGCCTGCCTCTGGGAGGAACACAAGCTGTGTTCCTCAGCTCTTCCCAGTGCCTCTGACCTGCTCAACCCATTGCAAGCTGGATGCAGGACCCACACACAGTCACCTGGACTTGTCAGAATGAGCCAGATTTCAAGACATCCAAAACCACAGAAGGAAAGTCCCCAGGCCCTCAGTGCCAACGGATCCAAAGAATATTCCCTCAGGTCCTGTTTCATGTAGGTTCCTGACTAGCAACTAAAAGAATCCAGTCCCAAATGCAATCCTACCACAGTGTCACATGTTAATCCAATGTCTTTCCAGGCTGGGTAAGTTCTCACACCTGATCAAAAATATTCTGAGGATGAAAAAAAAAAAAGGCCTTTGTAAATGCATTTTCTAATAGCAGAGGCAGGCAAGGAATTTTGCAAATACCACTCGCTTGCCCAAACTCCAACAAAATATAAACTCTGCAGACAGGGATGGTTAACCTAGGGTAAATATTTAACTTTATCCTCCAAAGGCACATGCAGTTTTTACCGGAAAGAAGATTAAAAATATAGAATAATACCCCCACACATACCTTGTTTACTCTAAGGCTCCTTTGATGGCTCTGGAAACAAATTCATATTGAGACAGGAGTAAATTTAGGATAGGGTGTGTTACTCCCTTTTTCAAAACCATCATAATACACAAACATGAAGAAAAACAAATCAGTACATGATGGCAAACAGGGACCCCGAATCACCTCCCAGGAATAATGCAATTTTCTCCTTCATAAGCTCTCCCTCAGATTTTTCTTTGACAGTAAAGCAGGGAAAAGCATGAAAAAAAAAAAGGGCAAGAACAAGCACAGACGTTCAAGATCTTGGATATGTGACAACCTGTCCTAGCAGGGGACATTGCCTCTAGCTGGTGGGGGAAATCCAGGGTCAGGCTTTTCAAAATAAGCTGGGCTGATCTGAAAACAAGCTGTGTGATCTCTCGCAGTAAAGCTTTGCTACTGAAGAAGCAAGGGAAACGATGGGAGGGTTTCAGCTGTGGGAAACACGCCTGAGTGAAGAACCTGCAAGTGCTCCAAGTGCCTGCTGATTTCTCCCGTGGTTGTGGGTTGACAGAGTGCCTTGTCACTGGCAGGAGGCGGGTAAGTTAGGCAACTGAGGATTTGCCTGGCATTCAAGCATTCATACACAAGCACAGCATGCCTTGATTTACATCAGCTGTACGGAATATGCTATAAAAAGCTACATTAGGGAGGGGCGAAAAAGCATGAGCAATTTCTGAATGTTGGTTGTGATTCAGTGGCTAGAATAAGCAAGGGGAATATTTATCCTTACACATTTTGTCCCTGATTACGTTATGACAATGAATACTGTACCCCTGATTATGGGTGACAGTAAACTGGGATGACAGCAAACAGGAATGGCAAAACTTCTGCCAAGGAACATAGAGGAGCGTGCAGCTGCCCTTTGCCCACTGGCCTGTAAGGACGTCTTCCCATGCCCCCAGCTTGATGCAGGAGTGTGACACTGTCACAGTGGCCACACCAGGGGCAGTGGGAGCCAACATATGGACCAAGCATGTCTCTGAGAAGTAACTGCAGCTCTGGAGATCCCTGTGGCTATGAGGAGAGCAGCAAAATATTGTGAGAACAGTCATGCTGGAAAAGAAGAACGTAAGAGTGAGCAAAGTAATATGTGATGTTTTCCAAGAATACATCCCAGGTATCCAACAGTCTGCAGCTCAGATATTTCCAGGTGGTCCTTTGGATTTAAAAGGCTTCCATTCATTTTTACTCCTGCAGATTTGTCTGCTGTTTTTTGTAACCCCATCATCTCTTTTCCAGAGGTGTGTGGTTAGTCCTGTACAGAGCTCACTGCACACTTTTGTCACCCTCTGCACCTCTCCTGGTGGAGACAAGTGGCTACCAGGGCTGCATCCACTAAAAACTTGCCATGTTTGCTATAATCTGTGAAATACAGATTTAGGAAGGTGTCACAGCTTTTTACCTTTGTCCTCCAAGGCTGCTGTTCAGCCACTGAGTGCAATTCCCTCCTTTGTGAGGAAGAGAATTGGGCATTCAGGCTCAGGAGATGTTATTAGGCTCACGAGTCTAATGAGACTGTGGGTCTCTGAGGCTGTGAGTCCTCCACTTTCTGCTCAGAGACAGCTCCTCAGCTCCTCAGAGGAGGTTTCTCTTTGGCCAACCTGCCTACTTTTGTGACAAAACTCACAGAAATACACTTCCTGTGAGATTTCTACCCTCCAGCAAAATTTCAGTGAAATTGCATGCTGGAATCAAGAGCTGTTAATGAGGGGTGGGTGGATGGAGTCACGTAGATACACATCTCCCAGTGCATGTGCCAGTGTACCAGACTAATGCTTACCTTGTGTTTACTGTGGTCCCAGTTCTCTGTGTGAATCACAAAGTAGTTTTCCTAATATGGGAGAAAGGGGGCAATGCAGATTATCTCTTTAGTCCTGAAAAGAGACATAAAAATATGTGGAAATACAGAGGGAGTAACATATATCTAAAGAAAATGGTAAATACTTACTCGAGTTGCATTGCTACTCTCTTCATTTCCTCCCATCGTGTTTGCATCATGGAAACTGAGCTTTTTGCTGCTGAAGTCCACAGTTTCAGACACATTTCCTAGCTAGACCTGGAAAAGTACGTTGATACCTGATGTTTGTCTGGGGCTTGTATTTCTCATTGATCTCAAAACCTTTGAGAATCTGAGCTTGCATTACCCACCGTAAAATTTTCAAAGCTGTCTAGGCTGCTGTAGGTGTATGAGATGACTGCTGGGAGCTCCAAAGGCCCTTTTGCTAGCCTGAGCTAAAGCAATTTCAGCTCCCTAATGAAGCAGCATCATTATCAAAACCAGGCGAAGCAAAACAAACAACAACATACCTGTGCAGAGTGGATTGCACACCTCTGCGGTCGTGTTAACAGTCCTGTCACTGCAGGTCTGGGGAATAACAGCCCTGCTGGGAATTAAGATGAGCAAAACAAGGCAGGAGGACCGTGCGCTTTACACCTGCCTGAGGTCAGAGCCCAGACCTCTTGCATCAGGGGGTGCAAGTTCAGCCTCTGGCACAGTGCAGCCACAGAACAGGGTGTCAGCCCCAGGCTGAAGCCCCCTGATCCTGCATCGGGGCTGCTGAGCCACGGGACACATGTCCTTCTCGAGGGGTTGAAGAAGCCCTAACTCAGCTTGCAAAGGAGCCTTAAGAAAAATGAAGCGAGGCAAAGCCACCCTCCACCCCTTGCTCACACGCCACCTTGTTGCAGAGGTGAAAGAGTGGCTCTGTTGGCAGCAGAGGATATGCTGAGCAGAGCCACCACATCTTTCTGGTGGATAAGGGGAGGCAGCAGAGGCGGCAGCTGGAGCAGGCTGAAAGCTTTTTCTGAGTGCCACAGGAAAAGAAACCATTATGAGAGCGTGCTGAAAGCCTATTCATTGCTAAGGAAAGGGCTACTAAAGAATGTGGGACGAATGCCGAAAGCTGCCAGCCAGAGCAACAGGAAGATTATTAAAGCCCTTTGCAAAGACCCCCCCTCTCCTTCCTTTGGCAGTGGCAATTCTGGACATGGAGCTGTTTCTGACCTACCCATTGAAACCTTGTAAATAGCTGTCTGTGGGGAGGGAGAAGCTGGGTTACAGCCCTGGGGGTTTCTTCGCGTGGGAACCGTAGGTGAAATGCCCGTCTTACAGCCAAGTACAGTCAGGAATGAAGGCAAATGCACACCCTGGAGAAGCTCTCCTTGGATTATCAGGCCTTTATGGGGAGTGACTTATGCATCCAAAGGAAGCAAATGGGGCAGTTTTCAGCTGTGCTCCTCAGCAGGGAGCAGTGCCAGCCTTCTCCTGGTTGCTGGCTGTGAGAGCATGGTCTGTGCACACAGCAGATGGGCTAGGGAAGGCTTTTGGTCTTCCAACAGGAATATTTTGCCCTGAGTCAGCAACAACCTGTTCTGACAGACATGACAACTGTCTCCTGCTTTCTCTCTCCCAGTGTCTGTCTTCCTTTCCGCCTGCTCTTACATTTCTCTCTTTTTCCTCACCTCAGCTTTCTATCTCTTCAGCGTTGCTTGGGATGAATGTCTGTGAGACAAACCCTAGCCAAGGGGAACCCATCCCAGGAACAAAGCCCCTGGGCAAAGATTCCTACAAGCAAGGCTGTCCCCTTTCCTGTCTGTGGTGAAGCTGATCCCGTGGCTCTTCAATGAGATTGCTGTGCCCGTAACTGTTATGTTTTAGGACCCAATGCAGTCCCTCCCTGCAGGCCCAGCCTGGTGAGAACCCTGTAGTAGTAGGTGCTGTACAGACACATGAGGGAAAAGTCCACCCCACCGAAGGTTTCTGCGGGGTGAGAAGAGAGGTGGAGGCACAAGAGTGTAAAGAGACTTGCCCAAAGTTATCCAGTACATCCTGCTCTTTGATGTGCCTTGTCCCAGGCTATGTGTCCCCCCGCCCCTCCCCCAACATGTACCACTTATTCAGAGACAACAGCATGGTTCCAGGCTGGGAGCATTGTTTTCTTGCTTCTAGGAATGTCCTGGCAGGGAACCAGCATGAAGGAGGAGGTGAAGAAGTACCTTCAGGCGGTTGAGATGGTCTCCTGACTTCTCTTGGCTGCAATGAGACTCCAACATGTCTGCTTCCATAGCCAAGGGTTTAAAAGTCAGGAGTCTGGTCCCTCCAAACTCATGAGATTTTATGGCTTAAAAAGCATGACGTTTAAAAAAAAAAGTAAGTGCTTGTTTTTCATTTGTCTTTGGTACTGGAGGCCTTTGGGTCATATTGTTGAGCTTTTATCCCCAAATTCTGCCCTTTGGTCAGGGAACACAGAGCATATTCCTTGTCTGCTCACTCACATATATTCACAAAACTTTGCAGAACCTGAAGTCTTTGAGCCCTCTAACTCTGTCCACCTTCATTAAATTTGGCCAGTGGGTTCAAGTTGTGAGGGAGCCAATCACACACAGCACCATTAAATAAACCTTGTGTCTTTAGAAAATGGGCCAGAAGTAGACATGTCAAAGGTTACTACTACTTTTTTTAAGGATACAACTAAATCTTCTTGGAGTGGAGGAGAGGAGAGACATGGAAACACTTCATGTGTTGGAAAAGCTGCTCAGAGGCTGGACCAGGAGTCTCTCTGGAAAGAAGAAAGAACATTCAATAACCAAACTCAGCTGAAGCAAAACCATAGAAAACAAACTGCCTGTGCCAGGAATCTGGGGGAAGGGCCAATGCTGGGAAAGAGGGAGGAAAGAGCACAGAGAATTATTTAGTTCAAGTAAAAACAGAGCAGCACATCTGAAGAATATAACAGGGAGGTGCATGTTACAACTGGCCAAGATGAAAAGAATCAGAAAAGAAAGAAGGAGAGGCAAAGGCAGCTTTAGGAGTAATGACAGGGAGATCACATTTTCAAGCAGAGCTCAGACATGTCAGCTAAGTGGAGCCTTGTGAGCACTGCATGATGCTTAATCCTAAAGGCATCCCAAATTCCAGTAACACTATCCACCTCAAGCCAGCAGATGCACCATCTCACCTATACCCTTGGGGCTCAGAAGAATGCTGGTGTTTGGATGTTTGCCCTTCCCTGCATCCATCCCGAATCCTGACTTACCTGTGCAAGGGCCACAGCTCCTAACAAGGCAGGAAGGGAGATGTTCAGCTGGGCTTGGCTAATGAAGGGTTGGAGACATGCCTGCAAAAGCCTCATGGCATTTTCAACCCAGTGCAACATGGAGATGGATGGCTGAGATGGGATTACAGGGCACTTTGATCTCCCTGGCTTCCCTCCCCAAAATTAAATGATTGGGATGAAACATAATTTTTTCTCCAGGGGACAAGAGCTGCCAGGAAGAGCTCAGATACCTCCAGTGCTGCAGCACTTTTATGCAAGTAGTGGCTGGGTGGTACTTGGTCCCAGAATGCTGATGCTGAGCAGAAAGATGGGAGCAGCCAGGGTGCTCCAGTACCTGCACAAGGATAAATTATCCCCATGAGCCCTGTGACTGGAGAAATGACCATGCTTTGCTCCCAGCTGGAAACAGCCAGGGAAATTGTTCAGGGAAAATTCTGAGATCTGGCCTGAGCTGAAAAGGGAAAGCTGGTGGGGACAGGAGGGGGGTCTTGTAAGGTAGGAAATTTCTCCATGGTAAAACACCACTGCCTCCTACTTCTGCTCAGTCCAAAGTGCAGCGTGAGCGGCCAGGCACAGCCACGTCCCACCCTCGGCAGCACACTCGCCTGTCTTGTTGATTCAGTTCATTCCCAGTGGGACAGGATGGGGCAGGATTTGGCCCTTTGTCTCTCAGTGTCTGTGCAATCTGTGGGCTTGCAAGCAGTGAACCGTAAAAAATGAAGAGTTGACAATTAAATGCTCAAAATCTGCTAGGACTTTGTCCGGAGTGGGCTAAGCAAACAAGTCCAGATGGAGCGACCTATGATCTGCACAGTTACATGGTCTGCTCAGCTAAGAGCGTGTTCAGCACTGCTTAATTTGCCTTAATCATACTAATTTATGAGCCAGGTTTCTTACTTAATTAGTGAAATGAAGAATGAAAAGTGAATGCATAGCAGTAAGTCTCTACTTGTTCAGCTGGCTTATAACCTCCATTACTGAGCCGGGAGAGTTGTGTTGATTTGGTGTGTGGATGTTTAATGTGGCTGTTCACAGGGTGCAGAAAATGGTGAGGAATCAGCAAATAAAGGGACTGAGCACATCAGCCTCTCAGTGAAGACTGAGTCAGTGGCCACATGATGTTCTTGGAAGGGCCATTTTGGGTGAAGAAGGATGCAAACCTTTGAGTTGCTGCTGAGCATGACACAGCATTTGCCCACACACCTGGAGCAAAGTTCCCACTTCAGCCCCAAACGATTTCCCCAGGAACACAAGGAAATCACCAGGGCTCAGTGTCTTTCACAGGAGAGCATCACCAGCCAGCTCCAGCAGGTTCTGGGAGCATTTTCCTTCACGGGACATTGACCAGTGTTGATCCTGCTCATGTGGAACAAGGCAACGCTGTTTCTCATGTGCCTCCAGGGGACTAAAGAGGACCTCAGGGAAGATGGCACAAAACCTTCCCTGGGTTTGCATTTACAGATGGAGAACTGTTTTCAAGGCATGAACTTTAGTGATAAGGCAGGGTTGGGGTTTTTTCCTGCTTTGAAACCAACCTTTTTCTGGCTGCAGAGGGTTGTTCCCTCCATACTGTCAAATAGGAAAAGTAATTTAAAGAATCGGATGCAAATACCCCTGTTTTCTTTCTCGTTCCCTTGTTTTCTTTCTGCTGCTTTTAATTTTTGGACTTACTCTACTATTGGATAATTGCTTTGGCTAATTGCATTGAAATAGTTTTAGCAAGATTGGGTAATTACATTCAGAGCAGTTGGGCTGAAAATGCACAGAATCTGGTTGGAGTATTTCACAAGAGGCTGAACCAGATAAACAAAAAGCGATGTGTTACTTTGTGTAAGATACATGCACGTACTTAGGGTACACAGGTCCAACTTTAAAATGGGGAAATACTGTATTCAGGACTCTGAGCCTTTCCTGAGGGCCTGGGATCTGTGGAAAGTAATTCGGACTGGCAGTGGAGGGAACTTGTAAATACAACCTAGATTTTCACTAACACCAGACAACCAGTTCCAAAAGTGAAAACCCCACAAGTATCTTAGGAGCTTCTGTCACTGTATCAGAAGCCTCACAGGCAAATGCAGCTTTTATTTCTACATACATTCAGTGAAATTCAAATTTCCAATAATTAAACCGTTGCAACCAGATGTGTACCTGTACTTTTGGCGCTCCTGTAGCCAGTAGAAATACAGCAATTCTCTTTTAGCTTTGTGCATATTCAGAAATCCTTTCCTGGGAGCTCATCACCCCCCACGTGTGAAGCAGGTATCCAGCATGAAGGGGACATGGGGCAGTTTTATCCAGTTCCTGTGCTGGCTCCTTCCTTAGCCCTTCCTGTGGCTGGTTACTTCATGTGGAGTTTCCTCCTCCAGATCTCAGGCATATGGGGAGGCTGGTGGGAAATGCTACAGATTTTGGTGAAGGGTTTCTGTGCAAACCCAGCAGTCCCCCAGATACATGGAATGCTGTGATGGATGACCACTTTGGATGGTCATCCTGCTTCTCAGGTCCCCACAGCACACAAGCATGAGGGGTCATTTCACCTTCCTAGCACTGTGCTTTGGTCCTGGTGAGGAAACAAGGTGCTCTCGTTTTCTTCTCTAAGGGAAGGGTTAATGGAGGAGCAGGCAGGAATTGCATGTCTAAAGCCCACTGGCAACATCTCTGATGTAGCTCAAGCAATTTGCTGGGATGAAACTTGCACCAGTCTGCCTATTTACCCGTCCTTCCTCTATCTCTCTCATCTAAAAGCAAGACACAAGTTTGTGAGTCACAAGCAGACTAATTTGAGAAAGGCCAAAGCCACTTCTGAGAGCCTCTGGCTCATGGATGAGACACCGGCCCCACTGGAGCAAACCTCCCACCAAACAGTCCCACTGACTGAGATAAAACCAGGCAAAATGCTTCTCAATAAATCACCCTGACAGAAATCATTTCATAAAGGGCATCTTGTTGATGGCAGGTCCTTCAGGCCAGGGCTGTGACTCTGCCACATTAACTATATTAATGTCCACACTCGGCGTGATGAGGAGTGATGGAGACCACAGCTGAGCGAACGAGTCTGAGCCGAGGGCTTCAGCCTTGGGTTTTTCCGAGCACTGCAGCCTGTGTGGGCACTGGACAAGCACAAGTCTGGGCAAAGCTCAACATTTCCCAGATGCAAAAGCAGAATTTAATTTTGCCACGAGGAACTGAGGCATATGTTGTAGGAAGCGAATGGTGGGGACAGTCCTTGGGCAGTGAGCTTCTGATTCCATTGGAGGAAGAAAGATGGGGGACTGGGGGGAATATGATCTTAGGAAAAACTCCAGAAATTTACAAGAAATCCCAAACTCTGGTATAGATGACAGGGCCAAGGTTGCCTTGCCTGATTTCCCATAAAACCTCACAGATTTCACTGCAAGCACAGAGTTTGGCTTTTCCATCAGCATGGACAAAAACCACACAACACTGACAGCAACCCCCACAGCAGCAGGTGTTGTTACTCGGTGCTCCCCTGCTGTTGAGCACTGCCCATCCGAGCAGAGAAGATGCTGTGAAAGAGAAGGTGAAGGTCTGGCCCATGTGGTTGGTGCCCCTGAATCCCAGGGCCCGAGCAAAACCAAGGCCTTTGCAAAAGGTAGCAGGGAGGCTGACATTGTGTTGAGGTCTTTGCCAGTTTGGATGCTGAGGTGCACCAAGTCAGCACGGCTTGGGGAAACTGGTGGTTTCTCATACCCAGACATCTCCCCTGGGACAAAAGCCCTTTGTTTTCCCATCCAGTCCCAGCAAAATGAACCTTGCTGGAGCCACATTTAAGCACATGGCATTGCTGCCAGCACACAGGCTGAGCCAGCCCCTAGCAAGGGTGAACTGGTCTCTGAAGCCAGGGTGCACTACATCGAGACACTAGGCTTATGTATAGACTCTAGAGGATCTCAGGTGCTGGCATAAGGTCCATGGAGTGATCTACTTTAAAGTGAGGAAGAGCAGGGTATGGCTGTGAAAGGAGACACACGCTGTCAGCACAAGTGTTTGGGATTGGTCATGGACCAGCACCATAGGAGCTGTCATCCCTTGAGGTGGACGTGGTGGTACATGGAGATACCAGTCATCTGCTCCAGCCTGCAAAAGTGGAGTGAGCTTTGCAATTGCCAAAGAGGTCTCCTCTGGAAGTGGAAAAAGCAGCACTCTCCCAGCATGGTCATGTCCTTTGCTGGTGCAGCTCTTTTGGGATCTGCAATGAGTGTCCATGTTGCATTAGCCCTGTGTGGGCTTGTCCAAGCCTCTCACTGCACTTCAGAGGGATTTGATGACCACTGCGACTCTCCCTGCCTGTAGGGACCAGGTTTCTGAGTGCTGTGAAAGTCTTTTCTCTAGTCTGGGCCCTCAAAAGAAGCACTGTTATTCTCCCAAAGATTTCCTCCAAACGTCTAATAGATGAATGACTAGCTTCTGCACAACTCCAAGGTAAACTACAGCTTTCTGAGATCCTGGGAGAGCTGTCTTTGTGACTGGAAGCTTCGTCCCATGACATTCCCGCAAGCAGGGTTATCCTAAGCCCTCCTGTCTGCAAGTGCCAACACACACCATATCGGATGTCACTGAGCATTTCCAGTTTGCAGACTCACTTTGCTTGCATTTTATTTCCCAGGCACGACTTACATCCTTCCTGATGGATGTGTCCACACAGTTAGCGTACCAGACTGGGCACAGCCTGCCCTCCAAACTGAGCCTGAGGTGCTGTGGACACAACCAGTAGCTCCCAGGGTCACACAACATTTTGGCTCTGAAGATGTTTGTGTTCCAGTTTCTTCACTTGGGTCCTCATTTGCCTCAGGGAGGTTGAACTGGCCAAGACTGACAGAGAGTGGAAGGCCCTTGTGTAAAATACCCATCCTGGGAGGTGATGTATTGTTGTTTTACAAACCCTTCAGCACTCTGACTTCAGCAGGGTACCGCATTACTTGGGGTGCCTGAGTAAAGTGTTTTGCTCCTATTTAGGGGACATTGTTATTAAGGTGAACCCAGGACTTGTATGGATGTGGATATCCCTATTTGAAGAGCTAAACAGAAGTTGTAATTCCCCTCCTGACCTCTATAAACTCAGATGCTTTTCTCACTGGCCCATGCTGTTGTTGAAAGCTGGTCCCACTCCTCTGTTTAAAGCAGGGGCAACTTTCCATTGAAGAGATCCCAGAGTCCCAACTGCAAACTCTGAGCAGCTCCTACCATAAACCCCTCGCAGGCACACAGAGCAGAGGCAGGAGACACTGACACCTCCTGGTATAGTGTATCACTGAGAAATGATTCACCAGCCACTGCCTGAGAAACTCTGGCTTGGGATATACCCAACACAACACACTGGATTTTACTCTGGTGCATGGGCCACCTTGAACCTGGGTCTTCCTTTGAGCTGTCAGGATATTCTGCATTTTTGTCAGGAATACTAGGTTGTTGTCTCGTTGTTCCTTTGGCAACCCACTGCTTCCCTGACAAGGTCGTGGTTTAGGTTAAAAAAAAAATCCATTCAGCTTTTAAATACAGCTTGCCATACAGCTCAGGGTTTGCTAATGTCATAGAAAATGTATTGATTTTTTTTTTTGAGAACATAATTTTTATATAGGCTGAAGTGCTCCATGCTCCTGGTGAGCCCAGCAGTCTGGGCAAACATTTCTGTGTCCTTTCCCCTCATGATAAACCTGACTGTACCATCACTCAGAGATTCACAGACCACACCACCTCACCGCTGTTTACTTGAGGTCAGTTCAGTTTGGCAGAAGTTTTGCAATAGAAGTTAATTAGGGAGAGCGTGCTGATGAGAAAGTCTTAGGGCAGATGAAAGTCAGGCCCAAGTATCTTCCTTGCATCTGTAACAGAAGAGAAACACAAATAAAAATTATTGCAAATCAAGTTCCACATCTTTTGTTATCAGGAGCAAGTCACGACACCAAGTCTCAATATTTTGAAATTATATGTAGGAGGGGGAGTGTCATAAAATAACACCATCCTAAGAAAGTGGAGCAGCAATTATTCTCTGTATTTTTCAAGAAAAACAGGCCAAAAATGTAGCAACCTTACTCGATTTATCCTAATAAATACTTCTTGCTCCTTAAATAATAAAAGAAGGGACAAAGAGCATAACTCAAACCAAGCTCAGCCTTTGGAGTAATTTTACCATTTCTGGTTCTTTTAGAGAACCATTCTCCAGTTCCCCTCCGATGGATCTCAGCTTTCAGATGTTGTCGGTGTGAACCCTCTGTGCCCTGTCCCTCCGAAATCGCGGGGCTCAAAGCCCACCGGGCTGAAAAATGAAGGAGTGCAATAAAGGCGAGGAGAAGCTATTTTGATTGTATAGTGCCACCCACTGTCGGAGAGACAGACGGCACCGGGGCCGCTGCTCCGACACGGGCGGCGCTTGCTGCTGCCATCAACGACTAAGATAAATACCTGAGACGTGTCATTCAGATATCTGAGGCTGCCAGATGTCTGTAAGGCATCTCTATACAGACAGTGGGACGTGTACACATGGATATGCAACTGCTGAGGTCAGCAGTATGTTGCACACATGTAACTCAATACAATATAAATATTGTATACATCGATCAATATTTCTGTACGTGACAGTTCTGAGTCTTGATGGGTCGCAGGAAGCTGATGTGAAGTGAGTGCACAGAGAAACAGATCCAGGGGGGAGGAGACCTCACTGGAAAAGCTTTGGGTGGGTCTGGGGCTCACAAGAGCCCAGGAAAACACATCAGTTGCGTGCCAGCCCTTCTTGGCAGCCTACAGGTGTAGAAAGGGTGGTCAAGGAGATAGGGAGGGGATGGAGATGTGTAGGTGCAGGGAAATACGGGCCCGTGTGCACATTTCTTCAGTGAAGAAGCTTGATTTGTTGTCTGTATTTGATACACATCATGATTATCAGCTACTTATGCGCATCAGGACAGACAGAATTATGCCATGACTTTCCTCTGTCCGGACATCATGCGGAAAAACATCCACCTAAAGCACTGTGCCACTCTCTGGGTTATGCCATTGCACTTCTGCAGAAGGAAAGATATTTTCCAACAGTTCTGTGGGGAGCTCAGACATCCCGACACCCTCCAAACCCACGAAACAGCGTATCCTGGGAAAAGGCCAGGCTGTATTTCTCTGTGCATCCACCACCCATGGCCAAAGGCAATTCAAGCAGCCAGAGAGCAGGGCATGCTCTGATGAGCAGGGAGCTCTTGGAGGATGCTGCACTCTTCTGCAGAGGCGCCCTTGGAGAAGAGATCTTTCATTAAGATTGTCATTTGCTACCATTTCCATCCCCGCAGAGGCTGCCTCCTCCTCGCAGGCACCGTCCCCGGGGAGGCAGCGCTTGTGAAATATTCATACATCAGAAGAAATTACATTTGTGAGCGTGGACTGCGAAGCGACAACTGGCTGGAGGGGCGAGCAGGGAAAAACAATGGGAATGAGGGAGAGAAAGGGGGGGAAAAAAAAAGGCAGAATGTGGGAAGTGAGAGGTGAGCTGTGATTTCTCCCTGCCAAAATGCACATTGGGTCTCAGTGTGGTGAGGAGCTTCATGTGCTGTGCTGGGGTTTGTTTCTGGTGGCATATGAAGTGAATAGGCTTTCTCCTCACCAAACAGCATTTGTATTTGTGCTTCTGTAAGACTGGAGAAGAACATCACCCAAGAATGCCCAAAATTTTAAAAATCCACATTTTGAGATTTTTGGTCAAATTGAATGGAAGAGTCAGAAAAAGGCAAAGCCGAGCCCATTTAGTCCTGTGTGGCAGGAGGCTTCAGGTCCATGACTGACAGGATGTAGCTGGTGCTTGGTGCAGCCCTTGGATATCTCCAGCACACATCTGCAAATCTTTAACACCATCACAGGCCACTAATGCCCCACTGGCACAGCAGCACAAGACCTCCTCCAGAAATGCGTATTCCCTGTTAGAAAACAACCTTTCTCTTTTCCTCTCCTTTCTATGTCTTACCCTGAGTACTGGATTCCTTATCAGGGTTCAAAGGCTAATACCTTCAGCAGAGACAACAATAGCGAAAACTGGAAGAATCATTGTTTTTAATGCTGTGAGAATTAAGATCCCCTCATTGCTGATTTTGCCTGCTGCTGCTTAATGTACCCAAATATCCTATAGGTATAGGAAAGGAGTCTGAAAGCATCCCATAGATGTTTTCTCCAGGGGATGGTTTCCACCCCTGCATAGGAAGGATCCTTACACTCTCCCTGCACCCTCCTAGCTCGGTCCTCGCCTCCCTCGCAGGAAGCACACGCACACTCGCATGATGCAGGAGCAAGTTTTGACTATTTTAGGGCCTGAAATTTCCCTGTCGGCATGGCAACTTTCAACTCCTCACCTCTGACGGAAGCTGCTTAAAATAGAAAACCCAGAAAGCAGGCACATCGTGCTCCATGCTCAGCAAGCCCAGCTCCAGCATGGCAGGCAGGGCAGGATCCGGCCTCTCCGGGCTGGAGAAACGCCGGGGCTAAGCAGGGTGACCCGTGGGCCATCACCACCCACTGCTGCCATGGCAATTTTTAAAACACCACCTGAATCTTCACGATATTTGCTGTTTAAAGATACCATCTCCCTATCCTCCCTTCGTAGCCCAGTGAAGCTTTGTCTCCGTATTCTCAGACCTATCCACAGGCGCTGAGCATCCATCTTTCCATGGATACTGCCTCCATCTTGCATCTATTTTCTCCCAGGCCTCCAGAGTTGTTCAGTACCGTGGGATTGTCATATGAGGAAAGACTCCCCAACCCTTCGAGCTTACTTTTTATTTTTACTTTCTTTTTTTTCCCCCTTTGGAAAAAACATTGATTTTTTTACACCTATTTATTTCCTTCAAACCAGTTTTTCCTCCAGCTCTCACACAAACAATTACGACTGCATGGGGTCAAGCGGGCATGTGGTGTGCGTCCTCTAATCCCCGCTTAACCTAATTCGTTTTCTGTCTAAGAACAAAACTCCGTGAGATTCATTCAAGGGTTCTGGATTATGTCTCTCTCATCCTACAGTGCTCACATAAGATTAGGGAATAAAAAAAACCTAGAAGTCATTGGTGAGGCACTAAACCTGCAAACAACCCAAACACCTCAAAAATCCCTTTCTGTGGCTGAATTTAAAAGCTAGGAGTCAGGATGTGCAGGAAGAGCTTCTCCACTGAAACGTCATTGCCAACGCAGAGTCCAGTCCTCAGGGCTATTTTTAGGTCTATGGGGTTCTAAGACCTTCTGTCATATTTTGTTTCTGAAGGTTGTTTTTTTTTTTTCTTCTTTTCTCCTCTCCGCAACCCAAAGTTTTCTGCGGAGTTCAGCGGGTGAAGTCGGGATGCCTGGGGGGTTTTATTTGGCTTTCTTGTGGGAAAAATAAAATCAATCTTCTAAGCAGGGAAGAAGGGCTTGTTTTGTACAAACACAATCATTGCTGCTTGTTGTTGCTTCTAGGAGAACTTGTTGACATTTTTCAATCAAAATATTTTCCACTCTTCCTCCAATTGACGTCTTCTTTTCTCCCCCCCTCATCCTCTTCACTTTTTGCAGGTGTTGCTTTTTTAAACAATTTATGCACTTTCATTTCTATGTTTTTTTGAAAGGGCAACATCCAAGCATTTTCCTTTCCCTTTCTGCAACTGGGAAGTGCATATTAACATAAGAAATTTCTCTCTCTCATGGCTTTATTTTATTTATTCCCATCCTTTTTCCCACTGCTTCTCTCACTCCTGAACTTGTCAAAACTGCTCTAACCAGGGAAAGGGCAAACCCTAGCTCTCTTCTGGAGAGTATAAAACACCCCACCAAGCCAGGCTGGGCCTGTAACCTCTGCTTTCCAGGATAAAAATGGATTCACTTTCTAAAGGATTCCACTTTTCCTTTTATTTCTTAATTTGGGATCCACAGATGCTTGACTGAGGCACCTCCAACAAGGCATCTTCTAAAGAGCCTGCTGCAGGGTCCTGGCTCCAGGGGGAAGCAGGAGTCATCTGGGAGGAGAAGTTACCTCCAAGCACAGGAACAAGCTCTGGTCAGGACCAAGCTGGGACAGTGTCCCCAGCAGCTGTTTGTGGCCTTTTGAGGGTATACAGACCCCCTTAAAAGCTGCCAGTGGAAATGGAGATATCTGTAATTTTACTTAACTTGCATTTCTCACTGTTCACAGAATCCCTTAGAGAAAAAATCAGGGATGCCCATTCCCTAGGCCCAATAGAAAACCAGAGCTTTTCATCTCTAACACATAATGCCAGAGGAGGTTTAATGCTTTACTACCACAGTGTGTGCTCTTGTTCAGCCTAAGAGGCAGCAAATCCCCATTTCCCAGGCAAAGCTCCTCCTGAGTTCCTGTAAGGGCAGGGGAGCTGATATAGCCTCCAAGGAATGCCAGGAAGAGCCTGGGATATCAAGAAAAAGCAGTCAAGCTGTTGCATTTATGTGTGTATCTATAGTGTCATTATTAACACAGTCAATCCCAGGACCTTTATTTCTTGATTCCCTTGAGTGGGACACAAGTCCCGAGGTGCCCTGGGCAGGAAGCCCATCAGCCTGGAGCTGCAGGTGGGTTTCTGCAGGACTACAAAGGGTGCCTGTGCTTGGGCTGCCCAAGCAGACAGGGTAAACACCCTCGGCCCTGACTATTATAGGAAAGAGTGAGCCCACATGTCCTGACTCACTCCCCAGGGGACACCCAGCAGAGGAGCTCGTGGTCACCCGCACATCCCTTCTGCCCCACCACCCGCCTTTGCTGTGGCTGCAGCTGGTCCCCTCTGAACACTGGAGCCTCTCTGCCCTCTGCTCCAGAGGGAGCACACCCCTCCCTTCCCAAATTCACTGCCTGTCTCCTGTTTCTCATTCTATGCAGCCCCAGTTCCTCCTTCAGACGGCCCCTCCTCCGTGGTGGGGACTGGAGGTGATGGGCACCTTAGGTTAAGATTAGCCCATTGC